ACGTCAGGGAGAAGAGTCAACCATGTGATTTATTTGTCTGTGTTTGTCTTTGACGCCATCAGTCAAATAAATTTCCATCTGTTTTTATTTCCTATGTTCTTAGGAAGAAATAATGCAGTCTATACAGCATTGTTCAGAGGTTTGGGGTCAGTAATACTTTTTAATGTTTTGAAAAAGTCTGTTTTTATTAATTACAAAAATATTGAAATATTTCTATAACTTAAAATAACTGTTTTCTATTTCAATGTATTTTAAAATGTAATGTATTCCTGTGATGGAAAAGCAGAATTTTCAGCATCATTACTCCAGTCTTCAGTGTCATACAATCCTTCAGAAATCATTCTAATATGCTGATTTTTTGCTCAAGAAACATTTCCAATTATTATCAATGTTGAAAATAGTTGTGCTGCTGAATATTTTTGTGGAAACATGATCCATTTTTTCAAGATTCTTTGATGAATAGAAAGTTCAGAAGAACAGCATTTATTTTAAATACATTTTTAACATGATAAATGTCTTTAATGTCATGTTTGATCAGCTTAATGTGTCCTTCCTTAATAAAAGTCTTACTGGTTCCAAACATTCGGACAGTAGTGTACTGTATATACACTGTTTTGTATACTGGTGTCCTCACTGGCATGACTTACTTTTCTTCTCCAACTTGTGCAGAAAGATAATTTTGGATAACCAGTGCTTTTTGATGGTAAACAGCATGGCATATACCAGCCTTTAAATTAACACTGATCTGTCTTTTCAACACCAAGAAGCCACCCCTTTTGATATTTAGGACAATATTTTATGTCGCTTATGTGAATATGAAATCATTAGTGTGTTTTGTAAACTAAACAGATTAAAGCCTTATAAAATCCTTAATCACTCACTCTCCTCTGCCTGTTTTGCAGATCCTGATTTCAAAGACCTTGGAGTTCAACCACCTCTTCCTAGTGAGTGAAGTGTTTTTTTTTTTTTAGATTTAATTGATCTCCTCTGCATAATAAAACCACTTCACAATGATACATTACTGTGCTTTCATGTTGTAGTTTGTGAATTTGAGATGAGTGGGCCAGAGGGGATTGTGGAGTCAGTAATGGTTATGAAAGAGGGCAAAGCATTGCAGACAGAGGCTGTAGACTGCAGGTGGTTCATAAGAGCTCCTCCTGGCTCGAAGGTAAAACTCCATTCACAACTTTATTTAATTGGATTAAAGCCCAGCATGGTAGCTGATCTTGTTACTTTCCACTATGTAAGGACCTAAAAAATATGAATAAGTAAAAATGAAAAAAGATCTCCTAAGAACACTGATATAAATGTGTCTCTTCTTGTACAGATCTATTTGCGTTTCCTGGATTATGAGATGCAGAACTCAAACGAGTGCAAGCGTAACTTTGTGGCAGTGTATGATGGGAGCAGCTCGGTGGAACACCTAAAGAATAAATTCTGCAGCACGGTGGCCAATGATATGATGCTGCTGACTTCATTAGGTGTGATTCGCATGTGGGCCGATGAGACCAGCCGCATGAGCCGATTCCGTATCCTCTTCACCACCTTCCACGAGCGTGAGTCATTCCATCGTTTTTTTTATCTTAACACATTTCAGTAGCACATACTGTATAGATTTCTTTCTAGCGGTAAAGTCGTGATTTACCTCTTATTTTAACTGCATATTTGTACTAAAACATTATTAGTGCTGTACTGAGTCACTTCAGCAGTTTTAGCTGCATGATATGGTAGTGTCTCATGTGGTTTCTTCTATAATTATTATCATTTTGCTCTGCTCTTCAGCTCCATGTGAAGGAGACTTTTTCTTCTGCCATAGCAACATGTGTATTAACCACACATTGGTGTGCAATGGTATCCAAAACTGTGTCTATCCTTGGGATGAGAATGGTTGCAAAGGTAAATAGTCACATGTTTAAAAATGAAATATTAAAAGAAAATAATGGCATTTATGCTGTCACCATTTACTCACCTCAAGTCATTACAAACCTGTTTGATTTTCTTTCTTATGTGGAACACTTTGAAGAAGGATATTTTTTAAAAAGTATCCGTGTTTTTGTCCATCCAGTTGACTCCAATTGACTTTCATTGCATGGACACAGACACATACATTTTTCAAAATATCCTTTTTTGTGCGTTCCACAGAAGAAAAGAAAGTTGTACAGGTAAATGATAAGAAAAGTATCATTTTTGAGTAAACACTTCATGTGCATGTAAACTGCTGTTCACATCTTTTAAAAATCTTTTTTATTCAGTCTTATTACTTTTGTACTTTTGTATAATCGATTGTATCCTTATTTTTCAGCAAGGATACATTTGATCAAGATAAAGATTTATAAAGACACAAAATATTTCTATTTTGAACGTATCATGGATTCTATAAAAAACATTAAGCAGCACAACTGCTTTCAACATTGATATTAAAAATAAATGTTTCTTGAGCACCAAATCAGCATATTAGAATGATTTCTGAAGGATCATGTGACCCTGAAGACTGGAGTAATGGCTGATGAAAATTCAGCTTAGCCATCACAGAAATAAATGATATTTTAAAATGCATTAAAATAGAAAACAGTTATTGTAAGTTATAATAATGTTTCATAATATGTACTGTATTTTTTATCAAATAAATGCAGTATTGGCAAGCATAAGAGATGTATTTAAAAACTTTTAAACAGTAGGGTTTTTTCTTCATTTAAAACAATGTGCCACATACAATATCTATGCTCCTTTCGCACAGAGAAAAGAAAAGCCACTATCCTGGACAGTCTCGACAACACTAATGTGACCATTATAGGCGTGTATCAAATAAATGCAGTATTGGCAAGCATAAGAGATGTATTTCAAAACTTTTAAACAGTAGGGTTTTTTCTTCATTTAAAACAATGTGCCACATACAATATCTATGCTCCTTTCACACAGAGAAAAGAAAAGCCACTATCCTGGACAGTCTCGACAACACTAATGTGACCATTATAGGCGTGACCTGTGCAGTGGTGATTATCCTGCTCACCGTGTCAATAATCATTCAAATAAAACAGCCACGGAAGAAGTACATAATCCGCAGAGATGAATTCGACCCCACATTGCTGCACGAGGCCTTTGAGCCCCCACACTACGAGCTGTGCACGTTACGGCAAGCAACCTCATCCAATGGTGATGTTTTACCTGAAGACTTCCCCAAACTGCAGCGCACCTCCTCCAAATGCATCCACGGCCACCACTGTGGCTCCCAGGTGTCCAGCACTCGAGGCAGTCGCATCGATCTCAGCCTGCGAGATGCTGCAGCTATTCTCTCAGAGATGGAGCCAACCATACAACCTCCATTTCCTCTGCAAGCCACCCCTACTGGCCCACCGTGTCAATAATCATTCAAATAAAACAGCCACGGAAGAAGTACATAATCCGCAGAGATGAATTCGACCCCACATTGCTGCACGAGGCCTTTGAGCCCCCACACTACGAGCTGTGCACGTTACGGCAAGCAACCTCATCCAATGGTGATGTTTTACCTGAAGACTTCCCCAAACTGCAGCGCACCTCCTCCAAATGCATCCACGGCCACCACTGTGGCTCCCAGGTGTCCAGCACTCGAGGCAGTCGCATCGATCTCAGCCTGCGAGATGCTGCAGCTATTCTCTCAGAGATGGAGCCAACCATACAACCTCCATTTCCTCTGCAAGCCACCCCTACTGGCCACAGGAATATCCTAGTGATGAAGCACAGCTACTCGCACGATGGGGCTGAAGAGTGCGACCTGGATGATGAACTTTATGATGGGCCCACCACCAGCCGTGGGCGAGCTGCAATGGACAGAACTGTGCATCGGTCAGTATCCAATGACTTTTAATGGCTTCCCATGCATTTCAGCCCAGCTTTTGGATAGATTACTTTCTTTATTGTCCGTTTTGTCTCTGTTTTATTTGTAATAGTCATGCACTTGTTTATTATGTTTGTTGACAGACAAAATTTCCATTTTCACCGTTTTGTATCCATAAAGGATTATGGATCAAAAAACATTGGTGCATTAATTGGATATGTGAACCATAAAACTGTGTTCCTGCCAGTTTTCTTTTCTTGTTTTGTATATGACTAGTCCTAGGCTGTCTAGTCCATATAATTTGATGACTGTTATGCACTTTTGTTTTAATCCTAATATTGAGAAATGATATTAGGACACTCAATCATTCCATATGTTTGATGTAAATATTTTGATTCATGCTGTTTGGTGTGGGTATTATTTAAAACATTACATAAAAACATGTCATTACTGCTATGGCTATTTTCATCTTTGTGTTTTGTAATGTGGGACAGGCTTCTCTCTATCCTTGAGCTGTGTGGCTTACTTTAATTGTGCTTTACTTGTGACTTCATTTATTTGTATTTTCATTGCTTTTATGCCTATGTGAGAACAGTTGTGCTTCTTTTATACTTTGTTACCCGAATGCTTCAGTTTTCATTCTCATATCACATATTACTGATAAAAATACAAACAAGTTGTTATGCTGTCTCATTTTATTACATTTGTATTATAAAATGCCATGTAGAACAAAAACGATCTTTTAAAAAAGTGCCTTTCCATTGGATTGCCTTCTCTTTCCTTACTTATTGGTAATATTTTAGAGTGGTTGTAGGCATGTGAACATTTCTAATATTGCCAACCTCGTCATAATAACATTTATGCATTTAATACTATAAAAGTACTGTTTTCAGCAGCAGTCAGAGATGCGTAATGAGCGCACACATTGGGGTTTGTGAGTACATCCGCATAATAGTGCCTCCCTCTGGTATATTAAAGTAATTGCAGTGGATAAACTTTTACCACTATTTAAAAAAAAAAACATATAAAAGGACAGTTAATTAACAGGTTATAAATCTCGAACCCACAATCCGTTAGGTTTCTTCAAGTCATTTTTATTATCCCATGAACTAATAGTATGTCCGTCTCTAGTAACTTAAGGGAAAGAGAGCGGAACTAATGAAGCTTCAGTCTGTCATCGGACAAAAAAGGAGATGCACCCGCACCGATTCTCGTCTCGTCTCGTGAAATAATGTAAACGTTCTGTGGTTGTTTTATAATATATCTATAGAATATATAGACAGTATATTTGTCTGTATGTTGACATGCTTATGCCGTTGATTTATTTAAATGCCTTGCTCATTACTTGCATATCTGATCTATTTTAATTGCAAATCTGTCAGAAGCTGCGTGCTGTCATTGGGCAGGAGGTCAGTTAACGAGTCCCGCTAAATTCATTTAGGATGTCGGAATTTGGCATAGAATCAAATCACTCTACAGAGACTTATAAGCAGGGATCAGCTGGTGAAAGTGCTTTTAAAAAACGACTCGGTATTATTGCAACTTGTGTCGTCGGAGGGTCATTGGTCGCTCTGTATGCAGTGACCGGACCGTTTGTTGCACCAGCACTGAGGAAAGTTTGTCTCCCATTTGTACCTGCAACAAGGAATCAAATTGAAAACGTTCTTAAGGTTTTGAAAACTAGATCAGGGTCTCTGGCGGATATCGGCAGCGGAGATGGACGGATAGTGAGTTTTTTTTATATCCATTTGTTTTAGTAAAGAAAATAAGAATTTATGTGTTTGTTTGTTTGTTTATTTATTTATTTATTTATTAGCATTTTTATTATATGACGAATAAGAAAATGCTTTTATAAATGTTCTCAAGAGATATAAAGTGATCACATCTTCATAAGAATATTTTGTGTAAAGCTTCCTCTTTTGCGCTAACAAACAGTACCATGTAAATGCCATAGTATATGAATAAAAATCATTCAGCACTGTGGTATATCAGCATTGCAATACAACTGTTAGATGATCACAGTTTGTTAATCTGTTAATAGTCCTGATAGTCTTGTTCCTCTGTGTTTCTGGTTTGGTCTAGGTTATCGCTGCAGCAAAAAGTGGTTTCAAGGCAGTTGGCTTTGAGCTGAACCCATGGCTGGTCTGGTACTCCCGATACAAAGCCTGGAGGGAAGGTGTTCATCACAACACATCTTTTTATATTTCTGACCTTTGGAAGGTGAGGACAGGTCAATCATAATCTAAATGTGGACCTTCCATTATATTTGTACCTAAATTATTAAGTATTTACAGATACAATACAATACAATCTGTATGTAATCATGCCACATGTGTTTTTTTTTTGTATTTGTCTTTTCTTTCATAGGTCAGTTTTTCAGAGTACTCCAATGTGGTCATCTTTGGCATTCCTCAAATGGTAAGATCTTCTGACTAATTTTATATATACATACACACATGTACATACAATATGTTTACAATCTGACAGACATTGTTGTTTTCTCCACAGATGGAGCAGCTTGAAGTCAAGCTTCAAACAGAGCTCCAGAGTTCAGCCAAAGTAGTGGCTTGTCGCTTTCCATTTCCCACTTGGACTCCTGAGGATGTCGCTGGAGAGGGAATTGATACTGTTTGGGTTTATAATGCCAAGACATTCAAACCTCCCATCAGAAATGATAAAGACAGTGAAAGACAAGAATTAATGACGAACTAAGTTTCTTTAAAGAAAGAATGTAAAAGAAAGAATTCCCTATGTTTTAGTAAAGAAAATAAGAACGAGTTTGTTTTTTTCTGCATTTGTATTATATGACAAAGAAAAGGATTTGATATATATTTTCTCAGAGATGTTGAGTGATCATATCCTGATAATAATATTTTATATTCTTGTTTAAAGGCCCGTTCACACCAAGAACGATAACTATAAATATAACTATATTAGCGTCCACACCAGCGTCTGCCACTTTAAATTCTTGATTCTGATTGTGTGTCCATGTTTTTTAGTGTTCATTAGCTGGAAAAAATCATTCTGAAAGTTATTCCAATTATATTGTTTCTCTGTGCCTTTATCGTTACAGCTGAGAATGATTTTAGACCTATCGTTATCTTTATAGTTATCCTCATTGGTGTGAACAGGCCTTAAAGCTTTTTCTCTATATTTATTTTTTATTAAGTAAAAGTACATCTTAAGTACTCATAGGGACGAATATATATGTTATGTAAATAATCCAACATTATTCCTGGAATAAATTGATCGACTCAGTATTAATATGTCACATTTGTTATAAAAATTATATCTCATACTGATAAAAGATGCTTGCATATTTAAAACCACATTAAAACCTTAACACATCTAATTTCCATTACAAAAAAATCCCATTCACCACAAAGCCTTTCAGAGCCTTACACACCACCAAATCAACTTATTTGCATTGTGGGGACCATATCCTCATTCAAAATACAAAAAGTACCTACAAAACATGAGAGGCCAATAAAAAGTCAATATCCCTAATAGGAAAAGGTGTGTATGTGTGTTTGCACATGCCCAGGTGTAACAAGATTCGAAGTCCCATGCCTCAGCCCCTTAACATACAGTACATACACACCAAAAAAACTGCCTCCAGTATTTTATGCTGGCATTGCGCCCTTGTTATAGTAAATTGCCCTATACCATGATGCATTCGTATTGTATATTTGATAAAAAAAAAAAAAAAGATTATATCTTTAAAAAATATGCTAGCATGATGCATATCGAGATGTAGTAGTTCGAAAGTAAATTAATTCATCTACAGTCCAGCGCAGTCACCACCGGAAAATGCCAGAAAGTGTCGCGTTCTCTGCGCATGCGCGCTGTTCTGCCGTAAATCGATACCGTAGCAGCACATTCAGATTCAGAACCAGAGGCCACAAACATGTTCAGCCGAGCAGGAATATAGTCGACCAACAAGTAACTTGATCAGCGCTATCTGTGAGCACTACACGGAAAAAGGGGTCGGGTCTGGGGTTATGCGGCGTTCATGCTTGGATCATGTTGTATTGTAGCGTAGTTGTGAGCTGATATTGTGTTTTGTTCCGCGGTGTGTGTTATGTGTTGACTGTAAAGAGGACAGTGCGTCACCGTACAAGATGGACACTGCCGAAGAAGGTAAGCTGTCTAGACACGGAGGCATTGTGGTTGCTGTCTTGTTTCCATGTTGTTGTTTTTTAAATGCGCTTTGACAAAAGTATGTTTATCATTGTGTGATGATTTAGCCGGGGCGCGCAATCAAATATGCATCTGTAACGTTAACTGATGTGGGCCTTTTTGCAAGCTAACGAGCTAAATGTTGCCCTGCCAGCTTGGTCTTTAGTACAGCTGTCATCCTCCAAGCACGTCCAAATAATATGAATTTGAACTTGATTTTGACTTTAAAGGACGTCATGGAATTGTTAAAAGCACATTAGTCATGTTAAAGTAGTTTTAGCCATTATCATAACGTGTGTAACTCACGTAGAATGGTTTGTTTGTGTATTTTGGCCAGGTGTAAACGCACCTGATATATGGTGAAATAAACGAAACGTAGTATATCAGTCAAATCACGTATGCCATATTTAAAACACTGCCTGAAATGAGATCCCATTGATTTTTGAACTTTATGTGTGCTGGAGTGATAGTTGTATCTCACGTTATTCAGTATTATCTAGTTAAGGTTTATACTGTTGTAATAGCAAGAGGGCAGAGATGACCAGGGAATTGATTGGCAAGATAGCAAGCAATAATCTTGCATGTATCTACCCTTTTATTTTTTAATCAGTATCAATTGAAATTTTGAAAATCATAAAACGTATTAAGTCTAATTTTATAACTCACATTCTTTCATTTTTTGGCAGGTACAGTGTGTTTGTTGCAACACTCATATACAGTTCATTCTCATTTAATTTAATGTGTTTTGCACATAGCGGTTTTAAATGTTTATTTTGCCCATCTTTTCTGGCAGCTGATATATGTAGGGTGTGTCGATCTGAGGGAACTCAGGACAAACCCCTCTACCATCCCTGCGTGTGTACTGGAAGTATTAAGTTCATCCACCAAGAATGGTAAGAACTTTGTTCATTCAGTGACAAATTCCCTGTACGACAACTTTTTTATACTGTTTTATAAGATGCTTTTTTGGTCATAAAATGTGTACATACGTGTCAGATTTTTAGAGTCCATTGTTTTTAGACTTAGAAATGGAACATTAGAAGTAACATTCAATGATGACAGCTGGCTCATGTCTAAAGGCACTTTATTATTAGTTTATTGTGTCTGCTATAAAATTCAGAGGATGTAATTTAAGCAGGTAACTACACTGAACCTGGTGTCCTGCAGTAAAAATTCTAGGTGTCCTACTCAAGATGAGTCAGTAATGGCAAAAAATGGGACAGCGTGAAATGGAAAACCACTTGCAATGTAAGAAGGAGTTCCAAGCTCTGACAAACAAGAATATGATCTGATCTGACAAAGGCCTTGCTGTTCATTAGTAAGCTTACAAGTCAACAAGTGCAGGCATTAAGCATAGTTAAGATGATTTAGTGGAAGTCTGGTTGATACAATACTGTTCAAAAGTTTGGGGTCAATAACATTCCTAAAAAGTTTTTGAAAGAAGTCTCTTATGCTCACCAAGGCTGCATTTATTTGATCGGAAACACAGTAAAAATATTATATATTGTGTATGTATTGTTATATTTTGAAATATTATTATCCTTTAAATAAACTGTTTAATATTTTGCAATGTTTTAAATTGTAATGTAGTCCTGAGATCTGAATTTTCGGAAACTATTATAATAATAGTTTCCGAAAATTCAGATCTCAGGACTACATTACAATTTAAAACATTGCAAAATAGTCTCTAGTGTTGCATGATGCTTCAGAAATATTTTGCATTGTATTGTAATTTGCTGATTTGGTGGTGATGTAACATCTCGTATTATCAATGTTGAAAACAGTTGTGGAAACTGTTGTGCTTTTTTTAAAGGTACTATTGCGCTTTTTTTAAGGGTACTTTGATGAAAAGAACAGCATTTATTTGAAATAAAAAAAAATCTTTTGTAATATTATACATGTCTTTGCTGTTACTTTTGATCAGTTGAATGCATCTTTGCTGAATAAAAATATTAATTTCTTTAAACAAAGGTAACTGACTGCAACTTTTTGAATTGTAGTGTATATTGCTTTGGCAAAAGAAGACAATAAATAGAAAATAGTGTTTTAGTTGTATTGCACATTTCTGTAACACCCTAAATCGGCTAATTTGGCATTTTCTAGAACTGAATATCAGTCAGTAGTTCTAGGTTAACCTTTCTATTGGGGCCAGTTATTTTTGTAAGGCTTTGTGTTCAGTTTTTTTGTTCTTTTCGGTTACTGAATGGAAAGCGTCAGCAACACCCATTTGACTAACTTATGAGCTCAGGGGTCAATGTAACAGTTCCAGCTGTTGTTATTCTTCCCGTGTGGAAATGGAAAATGAAGCAGGATTTTCTGTGCTTTTTCACACAAGTCAGATCATCATCCTCACTCCCGCTTCCTGCTCCCCTCTTGTGTTTTCACAGCTTGGTGCAGTGGCTTAAACACAGCAGAAAAGAGTACTGCGAATTATGCAAGCACAGATTTGCTTTCACGCCAAGTAAGTAACCCACTCTAATTACATTCTTCAGGGGAGGTAAAGCCACGAACGGCTCTATAGAGTCACAACAGCCTCGAATGGCCTGTTCAATAGCAGCGATTGTGTGCTTCAGAGCGAAAGGGTTCTATGGGTTGATCATGTGATGTAAAAGCACGGCACTCATGTTGTCTGACGTAGCTGCTCTTTGCTGAACTGAAACAAGGTTTTTACACCCAGAGTAAGTTGTTGCATGGCTTTACTACAATGAAAGTGTTTTGATTTAGTTTTGGTCTTTGCTTTTCAAAAGCTTTGGGAGGAATGTAAACACAAGCCCTTTGGAAAGTATTACTTCCAGTTTTCTTTGGGAACTTAATGTATTACTTAACATAGAATGACACGATTAAACAAAAAACAAAATCGCAAAATGGCTTAGTGAGATTATTAAATCACGAAGCCTGTGATTTAATGAAATAACTATATGCGCTGCGTGTTTTAGAGTGAAGCGCGGCACTGTGTTCTGGTACACATGAGCAGCTCATGATTCTGTGCTTTCAGTGTGTCAAAATGGCTCGGTTCTCCGTTAAAATCACTCTCTGCATGTGCTTTGAGTTTGGGTTGTTTATGGCATGCATTTGGGTATGGGGCATGCACCAATCATCTTCCCAAACTTATAAAAAGGACTTATACCAGCTGATGTTAACAAAAGAGAATCTTAAAGGGCTCCCTGTGGTTTTTCTGCCAAAATAAAAACTTTATGGTTTAAGGTGAATGAAGAAATTAAGAGAGCCATAAATATTAATATTGTAATTTTACAGTTGTAATATAAAATAAATAATTATAATATAATTTTTTCATTGGAAGTTTTACATTGGAATGCTACAGTAGTAATATTTCTTATTTTTTTTATGTAATATTTTTTTATTTTGCAATAGTAATCTTAAAATAATAAGATCACAATGTTCATCAGAAAAATAAAAAAATTCCCTAATATGCTTAAGTGATGGATAATTTTAGACAATTAGATACAAGCACTGCATCCTTGTTAACATTTTGTTTGCTCTTAAATGTTGCCATCTATGTTTGTGGACAATAATTGTTTTGATTCTCAGAGTTTGAAAGAGATGCTTTAGAGATGCCTCTTCCATTCTTCTGTTTGTAGAGTTATGCTTTTGAATGCTTTTCAGAGTCATGATCTTTATTGTAGAGTCAGATATTTATTAAACAACTTTGAAAACACCCAATAATCTTATTCATTTGTTTAAATAGTTTGCAAAGGATTATGATCA